TTTTGCTTTCTTTTTGACTCTTTGGAATCAATATAGCAGAGAACAATTCAAGTTTAAAAAAACCTAAAAATTATTGAAGAACACAACCTGCTCAAAGGGTCAAGATAATGCTCCTGTTAAGTGATATGTATTTCTTTCTGTGCTAATGGTGATTGAACAAAACATTTTTCATCCTTTTTTTTTTTACCATCTATAAATAAGGAATGGGAAGGTTTTATTTTCTTTTTTTTCCCCTATTTTTTCCTCGTTTTTTTTCCTCTCTATCTTTTTTTTTTTTCTGAAATACCTTCTATCAAGGTATAAAGCATAGATACTGTTGGCTACGGTTTTCAAGGCTAAATCTGGGTATGATATTCCATCTGTGCTTGCTTGTCCCTAAGACGATTCTGCAGCTCAGACTAGAATCCTGACTAGCTTTACTGCTTTTTCTAGCTTGTACTCTTAAGGTCTCCTTAATCTTATTTAAGTCTACAAACAGCTTACATTTAGCTGAAAACATGAGGTGGTTTTGTGTAGGAAAATGTCAAGCTCTCATCTTATGCTACGATAGAGCAAAAGGACTTGCTTCTCAGCTTTCCTGGGTTTTAAAACTCCCTTACCTTGTAAAGTAAGTAACATGCTGCCATCTATTGGCAATGAGAAATTATTTTATTTCTTTAAGTGTTTTAAGGAATTCAAATCCTCAAATTCTTAAGGAATTTTGTTAGATGTTATTTTCTCTTCAGTCAAACTATAGGTATCTGAACAGCATAAACTTGCAATTATATCTTATTTACTTTAGGATCACAATGAGATCTTTCTTGTTTGAACTGATAGAAAGTCCTACCACAAAGCTCAACTACAATCTCCAAATTTTTTTCAACTAAAGGCCTAAAGAAATGTCAATTTCTTTAAAAACAAAGAAAAAGGTATTGTAAGAGTATACCCTCTTAAAGGGTTTTGAATGTCCTTCAAAACCAAACAAACGAATGACAAAGGTATTTTTGCAGATAGTCTTTTGGTCTTGACTCTGAGCAACTGGAACAACATAAATGTTGAAGGAACTGCATGGAAGTGCTGCAAACTTAGAAATATTTGAGGAAGAGAACTTTTTTTTCTTTTCTTTGTTTTCAAAATAGTCTATTTATAAGAAGAAAATCAAAGAAACAAATGTAATAATTGTTCAGGGGGCTCTAGGTGATTTACACCACTGAATTTTGTTTCCTTCTTCATCTCCAGTTAAATTCATTATGTCATATCACACAGCTGAAGAATATCTCTTTATGATTTCATGATGGAACACCAAAAAGGAAAGAAAAAACAACCTCTTTTCTCATCTGAGAACTATAACTCTGCTCAAACTTGGCCTACCTGGCTGGAGTGCTGGCCAGTTTCAGTGGTGTAGCGACATTCTGCAGCCAGAGGGAACAGAATTTACAATGAAATAGCTGATTGAACCAATGTAATTTCCAAGAGCACGTAATGACCATTTGTTAAAGTGAAAGGGTATATAACATATTTATAATTTATACTTCACTTACACATCAGCAAATGTAGAAAACAGTCTGTGTGCATGTGGTTAAGTAATTGCTCCAGTTAGCAATCCATGCCATTTTGAATGACCATTTCAGAGTGTGTGTAGCAACTGTAAACTGTTCTGTTGGTAGAGTGCTTGAAAACCAAAATACAAATGGAAATTAATTCTGCTATCCTGACTCTTGTGTTGTCACTTATAATGAACAAGTTGAATATTTAGGATACTAGTGTAAATACTGATGCTGCTTTATATTCACTTGTTATAGTAAATATGAACCTGCTTAAAACACAGGTCAAAACACATCGGATCTTACAGGTCACAAAAGTATGTTTAGTAAAGCATAGTTCCACCCCACCCCTTAGGATAATTGGTAATACACCACCTCTGTTTTATTTTCAAATTACTGTTTTCTTTGTCTCAGTCATATATTTTCTTTCTAAGTCCCTTGTTTTCTAACATGTAAGAGAAGCACAATGAACTTGTAGTCTTGTTGCTAGGCTTCAAGCTGCATTTATGCAGTCCTGTGAGACACTATTCTCGTTTTTGAATTCTGAATCAAGTCCCAAGGCAACAGTGCCTTGTTTCTTAGCAACACAGATGGGTAGATTGTTTATTCCAGCTCTTTTCTACAATGGAAAAATAAACAATTCTCTGAGTAAGGGTGTGCTGCAAGTTTGTCCCTTTACTTAACTTCCCCTAGAAGAGAGGAAAGAGAACCCTTCTGTGGTAGAGCATATGAAGTCTGTCTGGAAGTCCCCGTTTTTGCAGACTGGTGAGTCAATTTCTATCTTTTTTTTTCTTTGCTTCTTTTTTGTGTCCTTATTCACCACTGTGCATATGGATCTGCAGGTATTTTGGATCAGTGAGTTCCAGTTCCTAGGATACAAACATATGTATGCAATATCAATACTAACAAAGGGGGCAGAGGTGGGATGTGTGAAAATACACAGACTTTTTGCTTTGGTGAAATTAATGGAGAATCATAGAATAGCTTTAGAAACTTCCTCTGCATGCAAAACCTTGGCTTTAGGAAGAAAATTAGGGCTGGAGAAAATAGGTTGAGGATTGAGAGGTAAGGAGGAATGGGTATTCATGTAACTCGTAAGTTAGTGGTGTATGTTACCCAGTGTATGAAAAGAGTTTGTGGGAACTTAATTTATCTCCAGTGAACTGCCTACCCAAGTCCTTTTTCAGAAACAGAGTTTTGTTGGTAGGGACACATTTCCGTATGCCCTTATCCCTCAATGGACCACAAGCTTATTCCATAAAAAAAAACCCAAAACATTCTATCCTCAGAATGAATAAGCACAAAGTAGAGAAAGTTGTAATGTTATAGCTTTCCTTCAGGTTTCCTGAGCATTGAGTATTAAACAAAGTAGGAAAAAATTGTTTATATTGTGTTGGGGCCTGTCGCAATACCCTTACGGTCTACGTATTTCTTCCAGATTTTCGGGGTGTACAAGGTACTCTTGTGTAAGAAAGGTAACAGAGTATGGGAATGGCTTTTAGATCATAGAGACAAAACAGAGATAACACAGTATCTAGCTTGCGCAAAGAGTTAAATACTTTATTGCCTATTTAGGGTGTTAATGCTGCTCCAGTGGTTTTTCACCCTGCCCAGAGGCATCCTTGGGTGTAGGAAAGGGCCTCTCTGTACCTCTGGGCAAAAAGGTGAAGCTTGAGTGGCACTGGTGATGAGATAGCCCATGGCAGGACATAACACCTGGTCCTATACCAGGGTAGCAATGGGGCAACTCTAATGAACGTTGTGGCCTGGGTGTGCTCAGGAATGCAGAGCAAGACGAAAGTGCATCATGAAGCATGGAGACCAGGGCTTCAACATTTCTCTCATTTAAGGTTCATTTGGTCACTTCTACTTGTGCAATGTGAGACTCGTGTGGGCCCACTGCTGCCCAACTAACCCCCCCCCCCCGATGTGCTGCCCTGCATGTGCACAGGTTTAGTCTCCTGTCAAGGTTGTACTGCTTAATGAGGCAAGAACAAAAATGTGGAGAGGGTGTATTTGTGTTGCTACTTAGCGATGGGCATTTCAGACAAAATGAAAGTCAGAGCTTCAGTTCCTACAGGCTGGAATGAATGTGTAAATTCCTGAACATCCACGCTTTTGGCTTTAGATGGGGTTTCTCTGGGTTACTTTGCAGAACTGAAAGAAGGTATCAAGAAGCAATACTTCATCTAAGCACAGGTACAATATAATATTAAAGTACAATTACACATTTATCTTCAATGAAGGTACTAGGTTATGCAGACAGGACTAGCTACTGAAAGCAGCAATCAATAATAAACGTTCTGTTGTATATGTGTGTTCATCCTCCACCAAGAAGAGAGAAATATTTTATTTGAAAGTCAAAGCAAACTTTCTTGAAGCCTTGACTAGCCTTTCTCCCAACAACACACTGCAGTGCAGCAATCCAAAGCCAATACAGACATACGGCTAAAGCAGCCTCCTAATTTTAGCTTCCAGCTCTATAGATCATCCAACACTTCTCAGAAGCCACAAGGAGGGAGGAAAGAGGAACTCAACCCAAAAAGTACCTCTGAGACCATAGCCACGCAAGAGCTCTCTGGCATAGGTTCAGGCTGCTCCTTCCTGTTCTAGAAAAGAGAAGGGACTTTCTCCAGCTTGTCACTCGCTTTCAACGGATCAACTCTTATGAGGCCAAAATACTCTTTGTGAAGAATACCAAACATAAGCCTGGTGTGTATGAAGACCCCAAACCACACAATTATAGGCAGGTAAAATGTCTAGCTCCCAGACTTTTATAAAGCAAATACACTGAAATAAATACATGCTTGAGGATTGGTAAATGAAGCCACTAGATGTCAGTCTCATTAGCAAAAAAAGTCTCCAAAGCCTGCAGTTAATACTGCAGTTGGGATCTAACTTTGATAGGTAACTGTGTCGTAGGCACACATTATTTGCCAAAAGATTCCATAGGTAATGCTGAAGAATTCAGCCTTAGAGCTCTATGTTTTAATGTGCTTTGTAGTTTTTATTTGTGTAAAGCAGACTGAAATAGGGCTAATCAGTTCACCTTTACCTTGTTCACTGTGACATGTCTGTCTGTACTTTCTGCTTTCCTCAGATAAATAGCTAGCAGTTGAATTGCTCGACATGCTGGATGGAAGTATTGTATGGTAATTTTTCCATTTAGCAGCCCTAACTGAGACCAGCATCTCACTGTGCTAGATTTTTGTTTGCAATATATGGTAAGAAACTCCTTTCTTCACAATACTGATTGTGTACAAACTGTGTACAAAAAAGTTGACAGGAATTTAAAAGGTCAAGATACAATTTGAATCAGTGCATTCCCTTGCAGTCAGTGAATTTAATGTTAAATCTGCTAAGAAAGAGAAATCTTCAATCTAAATGTGTTTTTTTCATAGTAGTTTGGTTTATTTGTTTTTGTAGCATCTTTTAAAATGAGATTCATTGTTCTATCCATATTCAGTTAACTTCTCACTAGAAATGTTCCTATCTCCTCTCCTCTGAGCCTTTCAAAGAATGTTACTCAAAGAGCAATTCAGCAAACTTACTATTTCTAAAATAGGAAAGAAAACTGAGATGGTAAACAAAATCCTTTCTGTCCTCCAAAGCAAACATTTATACCTGGACATGTAGTTTATTGAAGAACCACAAAAATAGCATATGGCTAAAGCTACATTTCCATGGAAAACAATATTTTCTTCCCCTTTCTGTCTTCATAAGAATATAAATCTATAAATCATACCTTTATTTATTTGCCATCTGCTATAGCAGGAATTTAACTTCCTTGTTTCTCTGCTATAGCAGGAATTTAACTTCCTTGTTTTTGAGTTTACTTAAAGTAATCAAAACCAAACTTCTAGTTAGCCGTTACAGCCAAAAGCAATTTGTCCAATAATACTCTATCTCAAGGAAAATTTGCTTTATTTCAAGATTATCCAATTTTGATAATAGCAATTAGATGCTAATTTCTCTTAAAACCTACCAAACAAAATTTTCTCTTCAAGTAAATATATCTTTTTTTTTTTTGTCAAGTCTTGACCAAAAATATAAATTTGCAAAATAAGCAGAAGGGAAAAAAAATGTATATTTGTCCCACAACTCCAATGTTATGTTTTCTAATATCACCAATTGAGAGGGCCTGACTATAGGAACCACATCTTAGGAAATGTTCTCAGGGTTTCAGAACCTTCCCCACTTCATATCAGGAGAAAACTAGTGCTTTAATAATTTGAGTAGCTCCAAAATATAATTCCAGAAAGTCCGATAAGTATACAACCAAATTATTTAGCTGTGCGTGTGAAATAGAGTTTTGGGTTCACATTATGAATCAGGTACTTTAGGAGATTTTAGTGTCACCAATCAGTGCTCTAATCTCAGGACTAATGGGTTTTTGTTGTTTTTTTTTTCTACCTGAGTGAAAAAAGTACTTATAAGTCAGCATTTCTGAAAAGAAACAAGAAAAAAGCAAAGAAGCAAGTTGAAACCAAAACTTCACAATATAAGCTCCTGATAACAACAAAACATTTTGAGATTCTTTTCAGGACTTTGTCCAGAGGTAGTGCTGATTTCCACTATGAGGACTGGAGGAAAACAGTATGTACTGTCTAATTGCTTTGACATACCATTAACTTTTCAGCTCACTGAAAACTTCAGGCTACATAACTTTAGCAGGCTGTAGACTGTACAGGGAATTTAACACTGTATTTTCACCTCCACTAAAATGTCCCCTCGGGAGAATCCTTAGTGACATATTGTCAGGAGTTTAAAAGAAATTGATCAATCTTACTGGGAGATCTCTATGTAAAAAACGTACCTGAGGACTAGCTGCACTTGTCCAAAATTCTTAAGTATAGATTTGATCTTACATACACAAAAAAAGGCAATTTCTATGTTCACTTAGAAATGTTCTCACCCTTCAGGCCAATGGGAAACGCTTCATTAAACGGAAATCAGAACTCAGTCAGAAAGGAATTAAAAAAGGCAAGGGAAAGGCAACAAGTAAAGTATGTAAATTACCAATGTACAATATTTTCTCCTTCTTGTGGCATTCTCTCCTATGCAGTTCTGATGTGATCACATCCATCAACCCACAGTTAAATATTCATTACAATCAAGTATTCAACATGTAACTTCACACACCATTTTTGTTCCCTCAGTGGTTTCACAGGGCATTCATCCAGCTGCCTAACCTCGCCATTTTGATTTTATCTTGTTCAATTAATCAAGGAAATATATCTTCCTATTCATGCAGATGATGCTGATACCTCCAGAACATGATGGTTATTGATTTTCCATCTTGTATCTCAGAAGAAACCACACAGGTTAGTCCTTGACAACATGCACATTCATTGTGTTAAAGAAATTAGGAACCTGTGCTTGAACAGTAGGGAGCAGGAATAAGAGCACTGAACCCACAAAACTGGCTTAAGTGCCTCAGGTGAAGCTTATAGACCAAACATCAGTTTTTCCCCTCAAGTTTCAACATCAGAGAAAGTCCACTTCCTAATAAATAACAGACTCAGATTATAGAAAATAGTTCACTCATGCAAAGACACTTAGATTTAAGATATCTGATACAAGCAGGATTAGTAGCTGAACTGCTTGTCAATCTCAGTGTTTCTGATAAGACTGCAATTTCAATCCTGTAATGGGGGTTTAGTCCCAGGCAACTGATTCATGTCCAGTGTCTGCTGTCGTCATGGTAGATACAACAGTCTGTGGTGGATAGTTCACAAGGGGATGCCTGCCCTTTAGTGTAGTTTCTATAGCTCCACCTCTTGTAAGGATAGCTTTTTTAAAAATAATTTACTACACACTAGTTACAGTACACAGACATACATATCATGTAGCATAAAACACTATCTTTGTACATTCATAGCAAAGGCCATGGACAGATTATCTTTTTGTTTATGATGTTTACTGTATATGTCTTTGTGTTCCTTTTTCTAGATCCTATCTGATTAACAATAAGCATAGCTTTTCAAATCCTAGAGTCCAGACAGTTTTTTCTATAGCTTATAAATACCGTTTCCTTAATATTTTCAGATCCTGGACTTGATTCACTGAAAGGAAAGCAAAAGGACTCTGATAGGAGATTTCTTACATACAAGCCTTGTGTAAGCAAATGGGATCCATAGCTGCTACTGTTAAAGAGTACCTGACCATCTAAATCTGCTTCATTTACAGTTAGTGACATTAAAACAAAACTTCTAGGTTTCTCTGCTTAAAAATATTTTGAAATAATAATAATAGTAATTTTTAATTATATTTCTTTCCTGATATTTTGGATCATGCAATCTTGAGAGCACAGCTGGCATATCCTAAGGGAAATGTCATTTTACTGGAGATCTAGAAACATGGACCATTAATTTCCTTTAGATTTTCAAGAATGTAATTCTGTTTCCACCTCTTGTTGACTTTTATGGAGTTTGAGAGATAGTCTCTTGGGGAACATTTTCTTATTTCAGCCTTTAGCAGAAGATTATACAGCATTGTATGTGGTAATTCATTTGTAGGAATTAAGATGTCCATATTAGACTGTTCAAAGACACAGACTATTTCAGAATATGCAGGTAAGGTGCATGCCTTAATGGTTTGTATATATATACCAAACACTTAAATGTAGAGATCTCCAAAAGCAGAATACCTCTATTTTCATTATAAAACAGCTGCCATTTGCATAAAAAATTAAAATATTTGGGGAACCAGTGTAGACGGTGACAGATTCTGAGTTGTGAATGTAACTCTACCAAATAGCAGCAAGTCAATATGCTTGTTGTTGTAAAACACATGAATTGGCTGAACACAAATGTCCCTAGGCATTTCAACATGTTGTGCTCTGATTCAAGACTGAAACATGTCTGAGAATGAATTCTTTGATAAACCTGTTGAGATCATCCGTATGACAACCACTCCTGTTTTGTTTTGTAGGTCTGATGTACCTGTACTTCTCTGCCCCCAGCAGCACAGATGGCAGCGTTGTGCTCACACTGTGTTCTTGGATCGTGTGGAGGAAAAGCTTTGCCAGCTGCATCAGGGAGAGATGCAAGTGTTCACTCTGCTATGTTAGGGACACTGTATCTTGCCTCATCCAGAGGGCAAACTTAGATAACAAAGGATTGATGGGTGCTGGCAGAATCCATAACTCCGTTGTTTGGAAGGGTTAGGAGGACACTAATGCCCAATTAAACTGACTAGACCCAAGCCTTCATTTGAGAGCAAAAAATGGAGATAGCTGGCCTGGCTTGCACTACTGAAAGGTTGTTATCAAGTGAGATCCTTGCAGCATCCAGGGTGATCCTGGCTTACATGGGCTCAGGATATCCATGCAGACAATGCAGCATTGTCTCAGAATCTGAGTTGCAATGCTGATAATCTGCATGAGATGAAAAAATGAAAATGTGCTGATCACAACACTGACCTTAGCTGGAATAGCTTGTCCTTCTTGGAAAAATATACTTGTCTGAGCAGAGTCCTCTGCTGCTATAGCCAGAATCCATATTGCTGATTGTCAAATCTCTTGACAGAGATCATCTTGGGGAGTAACCACCACTCAAAGCAGGGTCATGGTGGGTGGCTTTCTAAGGCAGGTAGAAAGTAGGACTGCTTTTAAATGTGTTAGGAGACACTTTTTTACCTTCCAACACACCTTTCCTTCAGTGTTCCTGAGCAGCTGACACTTGACAGTGCCCTCCAACAGTCTCCATGCCTGGCACACAAAGTCCCGGGAGAAAAAGAAAAATATCCACGAAAACCAGAATTTTCTGCTTCCATCTTATCTAAAACAAACTTCTCATGGGGAAGTTGATCTTTTCCCTGATAAAACCAGTTTTCTGTAAAACTGCATTTTTCTCCCATCGTGTTGGATACTAGCCTGATGTGACCTTACAGGATGATGACTATTTAAATGCCAATGTCTTTCCTTTCACAGGAACTCCAGTCTAAGCAGCATGGTGCTAAGAATAAAGCAGTGTGATATGGACTCTACATCATTATCCACACTGACCTACCAATTTCTCAGTCCCAAGAAATGTGTTCATCTGAATGTGCTACGGAAGACTAGTGGTCCTGAGATGTGTCTTGTGTCTATCCTGTGAGTCAGGAATGAGGTCTTTGAGAGACCTGACACACTTGTAACAAAGGAGGCCTAGGTCCTTCAAACAGTACAAAACCTGGCACAGAGGATAACAGCCTTTATCAATGATGTTCAAATGTTTTAGCAAATATCTGTTTCTTACTGTAAATACCAGCATGGAACAAAACCATGGTAAATGCACTTTGTCTGGTTTATTAGTATTTGACCTCTTCTCCTTAGGTCCGGATTTTTGAAATAACATGGAAATTAAAATTATTATGTCTTTCTACTTAACAAATTCCTTCCTATATAGATTTCTCTGTATTGCTAAAAATTACTTACCAATGATTCTAATTAATTAATTTTTTTTCTCTAACCAGTCCCTCAGCCATCTGTAAGTAAAAGAAATGGCACAGCCCATCACACCTGGTAACTAGAGGTGCTGAATGCCATCATGAGCTTACTTTGGAAACTCCCTGTCCTCTGCACCCAAGAGCTGGTGATTAGCAGACTATGCCAAAATAGAAACAGCTGCTTTGCTCTTGACTCTTAATTACTAGGAATTGACTGCTGAAAGATCAACACAGTCAGGTAGTTTCAATTTCTTTTCTAAACATAGTGTGTGGGTGTTGAGTGTAACAGGGGGAAGCATTTTTTGTAATAGTCTGCATTGCTGAGGGCTCTGGAGGTATATCCAGAGCTGGATTTGGACTCAAATCTCTAGACCGAAACTGTAAGTAAGCTACATGGTAAATGCACACCCAGACAGTGATTTAGCACAAGAAAATTGCATACCGGATCATTTTGCCCATTCCAAAAGACAGTGAGTTACATACCACATTGGAAAGCTTGGGACACTAGCAAGAATCCCTTAAGCAATGATCTTCTAGCTCTATCTGCACTGTTGTGGAGTTCAGTGTTTCTCCAGGATTTCTCAGATGCAACACTTGTGGAAAGAAAAATGTGTAAGATGTTGACAACAAAAACAAAACACATTTTTTGTTAAAGAGAGCTTCCTGCCAATTGTGTTGTATCTACAGGCATAGTTTGAAGTTTGCAGTTCCCCAAATTTGAGTTGGAAAGAATGAAGTCCCTAGTCTTCCTGTAAATTACCCATTTTCTTAATGCCAGACAAACCCAGCCAAGTGAAAGCTGCTTTCTCTGTGCATGGCAGATGAAAGACTTGGGACAAATAAAATTTCAGAGGTTGTTTGGATCTGGAGCTCTTGTTGGTGGACAGAATCATAATATAATAGCGTTGTATCTATACTAATCATGGATAACGATAAAATTCTAGCTGGGCTTCACCACAGTAATAGGAGTGACACTAATGAAGTGCCACATGTAGCAGTCCTTCAAAGGAATGCTATTGATCTGGTCTTTTTACAGATGGAAAAAGGAGACACAGAGCAAGTAAATTGATTGGCCCAAAGGCATGAAGGATGAGTTAGTTTCAGACAAAGTCTTACAGGTAAACTTGATCTCTTATAGTACAGGTAAACTTGATCTCTTATAAAACATGTGAAGGCACTTCCAGTGTTCCCAAGGAAAAGAGGAATTAATTGGTCTTTAACATCTTACATAACACCTCATCTTTAAAAATATGGATGTCAGTTACGTCTTTCTTCTGACCCACAAGATGGGGGTTGCCTCTTGCACTTGCCTGCAGTGGGGAGGGAGACACACGGATGTGTTATAGACACTCATTTCCTGGCTTAGGCATCTTCACTCTTTCATTAAAGAGTCAGGAAAGAACCACAGGGCTGCTCTGCAGTGAGGAGAGTGCAAGTTGCTAGAGCCTCTAGGTAAAAAGGCTGCTAAGGAAACAAAGGTACCTGCAGTAAACCTGTGCATGGAAAATCCTCTTTACTGGCAAATATATAATAAGAGATATCCTAAGAACCTAAACTGAGAGTTGTGAACCTAAGAGTCTCTTGAAAATGTTGACTCAATTTGTTCACCTCCTTTGAGTGGCTATTATATACTAAATACCTTTACGATATGTGACATATATAAGAAAGAACAGCTATTCCTGTTAAGAACACCGTGAAGAAGCATAAAGGTTTTTTTTCTTTGAACAGCACATCCTTGCAATGAAGCAGCTTAAAAAGCTTTACTGCTAGTGACAGGACAAGTACATTTCTTCCAAATTCCTACAGGGGTATGACATCCAGCTGTAACTGTTGTGAAAGGCAGCTGTAGAGCTCCGTAGTGCGTTGACCCTGGCCAGATGCCAGGTACCCACTAAAGCCACTTTCTCACTCTCCCTTTGCAACTGAATAGAGGAGAGAAAAAAAACAGCAAAGGATTCATGAGTTAAGAGCTGGGAGAGGTCACTTACTGATTACCTTCATGGGCAAAATGGACTCAAAGTGAGGATATGAATTAAATTCATTACTAACAGGATAAGAGCCAAAGAGTGAGAAATAAAACAATCTTAAAAACGCTTTCTCCCCAACCCTCCTTCCTTCCATGTTCTCCCTCCTCCCTACCAGCGGTGCAGGGGGACAGGGAATGGCAGTTACGGTCAGTTGTTGTTTCTGCTGCTGCTCAGGGAGAGGAGTCCTTCCCCTGCTCCTGTGGGGTCTCTCCCACAGGAGACAGCCCTTGATAGACCTCTCTGGCGTGAGTCCATCCCTCAGGCAGCAGTTCTTCCCAAACTGCTGTCCCATGGGTCACTCCTCCATGGGGTGCAGTCCTTCACAAATGAGCTGTACTGATGTGGGTCCCCCACAGGGGCCACAAGTCCTACCCAGGATAAACCTACTCCAGCGTGGGCTTCCCTCTCCATGGGCTGCAGGTCTCCAGCATGACCCTGCTCCATCTTGGGCCTCCCATGGGGTCGCAGCCTCCTTGAGGCATCCAGGGGCTGCAGGTGGGTCTCTGCACCCCAATGGTCCTCCATGGGCTGCAGGGGCACAGCTGCTCCACCATGGTCTTCACCACAGGCTGCAGGGCCTCAGCTCCGGAACCTGGAGATCATCCTCCCCCTCCTTATGCACTGATCTAGGTGTCCACTTTGTTGTTCCCATGTTTTCACTCCATTCTTCCCTGGCTGGAATTCTTTCTTCGCAACAGCTATCTGTTCTTAAATATGTTATAGCAGACGCATTACTATTTCTCCTGATTGGCTCGGCCTTGGCCAGCAGCAGGAAGTCCATCCTGGAGCCAGCTGACATTGGCTCCATGGGACAGGGGCAACTTCTAGCAGCTTCTAACAGAAGCCACCTCTGTAGCTCACCCCCTGCCCCCCTGCTACCAAAACCCAGCCACAGAAACTCACTATGAGCTGCCATCCAGCTGTGCAGCTAGAAGCCCCCATTACACTCCCAGGCTTACTAGTACAGTGGCTTGATCTGAAGATGCTGGTGATGCTGCTATACAATATGGAGATTTAGCTCTCCAAAGAGCAGTTCTGTTTCCACTGCAATATTGGCTTGATGTATGCCAGCATCCAGCAGAGCCCAGCAGTAGTGCAGTGTCACTGACCTTTTGCATTGTCTCTGTGCCATTGCCCATGGCACTGGTGTACAAGTGCACATGGAAAAGCTCAGCTCCCAAGCAGAGTGCTGTGACAACTCTTCATGTCGGCCCCAGATTAGCATCTCCTTTTCCCTCTGTTGCACACTCAAGTTGTTCCAGAGCCCAAAGGAGCCCTGCAGAGGTGTTTGCCATTCAGGCTGATCTCCATCTCCTCTGACACCTTTCACAAAGCTCTTAAAACTTCAAAGGAAGCGGACTGTGGTTTTTGTATTAAGGGCTGGCTAAAGTGGTGTTCTCATGCCTCAGCAGTTGTAGATACATGTAAAATCTCTTCATCCTTCTTACTTTTGCATTCTCATCGTGGGGGAGAAAATGCACAATAAATCTTGCTGACAGCTATGCCAACATTTACGGACACAGTCAACTGCAGTGTGAGCACCTCTTAGCCCAGCTTATGAGGAATGAACAGTATCCATTACCAA